GGGCTACAACCCACTTCTTCGGATGCATCCGAAGAAGTGGGTTGTAGCCCACGAAAGCTTATGCTCTAATAAATTTGTTAGTCTCTAAGGTGCCACAAGTACTCCTGTTCTTTTTGCGGATACAAACTAACACGGCTGCTACTCTGAAACCTGTCAGTACAGACAGTTTGATAAGAAGTGTGAGAATACTTACAAGGGGAGATAGATTCAATGTTTGTAATGGCTCAGCCATTCCCAGTCCTTACTAGGTATTGATTGGTTTCAGATCCTGTTCTTTTTAGGTATTGATTGTTGCTTAATGACTTTTTCATTCAAGAAGTCCTTTGTGTGACTTCCCTTTCCTTGCTGAAATTCATTTATTCCACAAAGGCATTGTCATGGACCTCCACCCCACCCATGAATTTTTTTATTTCAGTTATTGACATTTTTAAAACTTTGATTTTTCAACTTTTTTATCATTGAAATTTCAAATATAAAAAAGGATGAACGTATCACCTGCCCCCCCCCCCAAAAGTCACAAATAATTCACCCTGCTTCTCTTCCAATTTGGTATCTGATCAAAATTTTCTGAATTTGGATGAAAAAATGTTTGGTTCAAATTTTGACCAAAAAAGGTAGAGATTTTCCCACTTTCTTTCCCATATTTTTTGGTCATTTCTATTAATTAATGCGCTCCTGTGAAATGATATCTTCAGCCCATGTATCACATGTCTGAATTGTATTTGCCATATCCAGTTGGCAGTAAATACTGTGAGCTCTTCAAAGACATAGTAACCTCTATGGGTGTATGCACCTGAGTACACAGACAGTGCTCAATAAGCACATTGCTTACTGACTTCAAAGGGATGAAGTGAGGTTTAATTAAGAGCTACAAAAGATATGGAAATATCAGAAGAAAGATACTATGTAAGCACATATTGTAATGAACTGCTGCCACGGCCCTTATGCTGGGTAGAATGCAGTCATAGGCCCTATAGTGCTAAGAGCTAATGGAGATTCTCCTTCAGCTCAGGTGGTAAGGGCTTGTGCATTTAAAGCAGGAGGAACTGCATTTGATCCTGGCTACAAAGTCTCAACTTGGCACAGACCAGGAATTTCAGTGTTAGCTAGGATTAAATATAAACTGCAATTGTATGCTGTTTGGAGCAGGGACTGTTTTTCATCGTATGTTTCTATTACACAGTGAGATACTCCCATGGTTGAGACCTGTAGACACTATCACACTCTAAATGTTAAATAATGATTAAACACAAAGGATGGATTGAAGAAATAATCATGAAAAAAGTTCTCCTAGAATCTGGGTCAGGGATAAAGGAATTTTGATGTGTTAAAATTTTGTCGTAAAAAAGAAAACCTAGCAAGTTTGTAGGTTTTGCTCCCACGTCTCAGGCCTGGCTCCATCCAGCTTCCAATCAGACCACCTGTTCTAATGTTAAATTCACTAGGAACAACACAGAGGAGAGTGAGACCAGTTGGCATGAGCAAGATGTAAGCAGCTTGCAGTAATGCCAGCTCTTGTGATATCTGGCCCCAGCTTCTGGAGTCTTGTGATCACAGGATCTCACTTTAAAAAAAATGAAATTTAAGTTGTAGCCCTTGCAGTTGTATAGAAAAATTAGAAAATGCCCTAATGGCTGAAAAACGAGAAGGCAACTAAAAATAACTCAACATTAGAAAAAAAAATCTCATGATTTTTAAGATTTTTTATTTTCAAGGGCAGAATTTCACCCAGGATTTTTGAACACTCAGGGTTGGAGAAAAGGACCAAAAGCAAGGTTCTGTCTGAAAAAACAGCCATTAAGAAATCTTCCCACAGATTCCAGTGAATAGACAGACAGTGGCAAGAGACCCCTTTGGTTTTTATTCATATTGGGTTGTTTGTTAGAGGAAGCAGAGTGATGGGTACTTCCAATTAAAGGGGACTTTGCGAAACAAAAGTTACTTCTCACCTGCAAATGTCTGCTTCTGCTTTTTCTGTAAAATTTATACATTTCTCTCTCTCACACACACACACACACACACACACACGGGAGAATTAGAACTCAGCATGACAAGTTACACAGCAGGATATAGATTCAGATAAGAGAGACTTTGGGAGTAAATGAAGTCTCACTGGTTTTCACTTGTCCTTAATGCAGTGAGACAGCTTGGGTTGGTTTCAGAAAACACAAGGTGACCCTTGCTCAGACAAGCAGTCAAAAAGCACATCCATACAGGATAAAAAATGGTCCATGGTCTTAAAAAAAAAAAAAAAAAAAGGGAAAAAGGCTGCAGCTGTAGGGAACTGGTTGTGGGCTCCAGTACCAGCAGGTCTGGGAGGTTGCTTAGCATTCACTGTGCATGGGCTCGAGCGTCCTTAGCTGGCGTAGACCTTGACAAACAGATTATGGGAGAAGAGGAGATACATGTTAATAGAGATGCCCTGCCATCAGAGATTGTGATTACAAAAACAGCAAAGGGTTCTGACGCACATCATGTGGCTGAAAAAACAACGGCATTCTCCGCCTAGAACTCGCACTGAATTTATAGGAAGCCATCTGAACGCAGCGCTATGGCTGGGATGGGTAGAGGCTGGTGGGCTGCAATATACCTTTTTCATGGAACACGTGTGGCTTGCTATGCATACAAATTTTTACATATATTCCATTGATTGTTAGAACACTGAGTTGCTAGAAAGCTTTAGCGAGAGCCAAGATGAGCCCAGAGAAAGATCTTTAGTCAAGTGGCTGCTGGACTTGACATACATTAAAGCACAATGTACTAGGCAAGATGTTATTAATTCAGACAATGTACCACGTTCCAAATCAATTATTAAGCCAGATGTGCCGCATGAATAAGCCACTCATGCAAACCCCTTAGCATAAACAAGGACAAGAGAGCAACTTTGACCAACCGCGTGAACTCCTGCCTTTTGAAATCCACTGAGAATAGATATCAGCTTCCTGGCCGTCCACTCGGTGACCTTGCCACAGGGATAGCCAAGTGGCTAAGCTGCCAGCGCTTCCTTGTTGAAGTTTATAATCCTTGAATCAAAAGGTTATCCTTAAAGCTGATTGGCAAGCTCTCTTGCACATACACTCTCCAGAAGGAGACTACCCCCCCTCACCCAAATTTTTTCCCCACAATTTTAAAAAGTGTGTGTGTGTGTGTGTGTGTGTGTAAGTTCCCATTTTGTTGAAAAGCCGTTTCTATTTAAAAGATGGAAATATTTCAACCAGTTATGTCTCTCTCCGACGCAAGCAGAGACAGCTGCATGCTTCTCCCTTCCGAAATAGGGGTAGGGATCCAGACTGTTGACTGTATGGGACCTTGCTCCAGCAGAGGCCAGGCAGCTCCCTTCCTCAAGGACATCATCAGCTTGTAGGATCTAGTCCTGTGGGGGACTTTCAGTCGGCCTTCTGTCTGCATTACGTAACTATTAGAGAGCATCTTGGCATGATCTGTAAGAGTAGGGGCTTGTCCTGGCATCCCAAGATGCCCTGTGTGTGCTGGTTTGGTGTCTTCCTTCAGCCCTGTGGTAGCTGAATGTGAAGTAATGGTGTAAATTCTTTGGGATCCTCTAGGATGGACTCTGCTATAGAAACTGCAATAGAATTTCCCCAGTCCTCCCTCTGATAGCCTGCAGATCCAAGTTGTCTATATGTAACCTCGCCTTTCCTCTCCTCAGCTGAGCCAGTGCTGTGGGGAAGCCTTGTATCACACTAAGGACTTTTACATGGTTAGGCCACAGCACCGTGAAGTATTTAATTTTAAATTCCCAATACTCTTGTCAAAGTAAAGGAGCATAGCCCAGTTTGTGATTCAGTCTCTTTGGAGACTTTCATAGGATGAAGTGTTAAGACTGGACCATCCAGTTCAGTTCCCTACCAACACAAAGATGTTCCTGGAATTTTCTAGGATGGAGTCTGGTTTTAAGTGCCTCAGACAATGGGATTCCCACCATTTAACTTGGGAGACTACGCCACTCTAAAAAGTCTCCCGCACAGGGGAAATCTTCCTCAATATTCACCTTACATTTCCCTTTTCCCAACTTTCAGGGATTTTGTCTGTGCCCAATCCAGTACGCAAAGCTTATATCGCTATGGAGGGTGCTTTCTCGGTGATTGAGCTGCTTTTCCACAGCTGCACTAATTTGCCTCACAACCAATTCATACGAAAGGGGATCTATTCTAGTTTTATGCTGCATGAGAGCATATACTAGTGTTATTCAATGGCCAATTCCTTATCAGACAAGAGTGTACATGTCAGCATCAAACCTGTAACCTTGGCTAGCAATAGCCTATGAACTAGATTTCTCACTGACTCCGTTTACAGAAAAGTGTAAATATCTCCAGTGAAGATACATCAGGGTAGAATTAGTAGTGGTGCAAACAAAATCAGGCCCCTTAGCTGAAAGCACAGAGCTTCCTAGTTCAGGAGGATAATTTTCAACTAATAGACAGGGTGAGCAGTGTTCACAAATTATGGCTTGAAGGAAAAAAGTAGGCCACAATCCACATAAATAAATGCCATCTTTATTTTACCAAATATAATTTAAAATCAGTTAAGTTGACATTTGTCAATTCAGTTATATAACTATAAATATTTAAGACAGTCTTTTTTAATTTTCATACAAAGAGGAACCCAATATTCTCTTCATTTGCAGCCAGATCTAAAATACACATGCATTCGTGTTCAACTGGTGAAAAATAAAAAAAAATAAAAAGAAGTTTTCCTTCAAAGCTTTTTTAAATTTAAATGTAAATTAAGTTCTTACCCTCCCTGCCCACCCTCCCTTCCCTCAACCTGGTAAAAATTTAGGTACCTCACCCAAGTAGAACTATGGCTCTTAAAACAATCACCTCTACCTCCCTCAGTTTTTCAGCTGAGACCATGGAGGGTTTGTCTCTTTCACTGGCACAAGTCTTTAGTTAGGGAACTGATGAGGCATGTAAAATAGTAGGAGTGGGTCTACTAAAAGCTTACGTGTTAGGGAAGGGAAATCTCAAATGTATCTCTCAATACTGGGCATGGAAGCAAGTGAACAGTTTTTTGCGTCTGTTAACGTTGAGGTGCAGGAGAAGGTCTCCAAGAAATTGAGACTTCAGTGCAGCAAAATTTCGACAGACGCCCTGGACAAGTTAGATTCATGAGAAGTTGCTGGGGTGAAGAGATGTGAATTTCAGAGCTACAATCACAAGTGACATTTGAAGAGAGCAGTTCCGAGGCTTTCTAACCTAGAAATGAAAGCCCTCTGGAAAAACACTCCCTACTAGCGCAGGGTCTGCGAGACAGCACTCTATTAAGAACTGCAATTCTGTGATTTAAAGCAGTCTTTATGTAAGCCAGGTCTCCCAAATACCCTGTACAGTTAAGGCCATAAAAAAAAGAGGCATCCCTCAGTGTGAAACAGGAAACGATTCTTCTACAAGTACCTTTAGACAGTGGTCCCTCAGCTCTTATCTTTTTGGCATGCAAGACACTAAATGTGGTTTGGTTTAGACACCTATATAGGTTCCTGTATTTTTTGGTATTGTTTCCCCAGCAGTCCATGATGGAACTCTCCTTTTAGTTTCAAACCTGTCAACATGCCTGGCAGGGCCGGCTCTAGGCACCAGCCCAGCAAGCAGGTGCTTGGGGCGGCACGTCGGGCTGTTCGGCAGCGGGTCCCTCTGGGAGGGAAGCACCTGCCGCCGAATTCCCGCCGAAGAAGAAAGTGGCGCGGTGGAGTTGCCGCCGGAGTGCCGCCGATCGCAATTGCGGTCGTGGCTTTTTTATTTTTTTTCCGCCGCTTGGGGCGGCAAAAACCCTGGAGCGGGTCCTGATGCCTGGCCTTAAACCAGGTCTCTAGCACTGAACTGCAGGGAAAGCTCTGAGCCAATTCCAGACTGGAATTTTGCAGCATGGGTCTATTGCTGGTCATGACAGATACACTTGGCTGGGCTGTTGCGGTCTTGCTTGGCCCACGGTAAGGGCAAGGTGGGGGTGGTCTTCCAAGCAAACCACTCCCTCCCAAGAGAGTCAAGACTGCCATATTTATGTGGCTGTGGTAGAGTGCCAATATATTGAGCAGCACCATCACCCCCTGAAACTGAGCCTCACTTAGGGCGAAGAAGGTCAAAATCTACACAACACATCAAGTATCACTTCGCACTTGTTGCACGTAATACCCAGCTCTCTGGGAAAAGCCAAAAAGGAGAAAAACAGCATTGTTTTAAGGAGCTTGTGGGAAAGACACAAAAGTTGACCCAGTATCAGAAAATAAGAGCCACTACAAGAGTGCAGGGTGTGTGTTCTGGAAAGAGGAATGCATTTCAGACTTTTTAAAGGAAAAACTAAAGCCCTACATACAATTAAAAATCCAGCAACTTTAGGGTTATGTTTTAAAGCCTCAAATAAACCAGGTGAGCGCTCCTTGTAAGCATCTGGGGGTGGGAGTGGATGTTTAAAAGGCCTCTTTCTGGCACACTCCAGCTAGTTCTCTAACCAGAATCTTCTTTGATTTAGAATCCAGGCATAAAGTGGGGCTTTGGGGGAGGATCTGGGGATGTCCCAAATCCTAATTTATAGAGTGTTCCCTCCTGGGAGGTGCCTGTTCAGTTTATAATTAAAACAAACCTGAATCGTATCTTGAACATTGAATGCTTATGAATCAAAAGAGTGACGCTTCACCTCTAGTGATGGGTGTGGGTATCCTTTATGATCCGACTACTCAATCAACAATTCCAATAGAACCTTGGTTCAGATGCTACTGCTATAAAATTGCACTTGGTGATTGTCTCTTACACTTTTTTTTTTGTCCTTCCTAAAACTAGATTTTTCTGTACAAACTGGGCTTGAAATATAAACCACATAAAATTCCCATTGAAAATAATGAGAATCCAGGATCAAAGCTGAAGTCCCAAGAGAGACAGAAGGAAGGGAAGGAGGAAAGAAGGGGAGAGCTAGTCTCCCACGTCCGTGTCCCGGTCACCGATGAGCCAGAGAATGTGGAAACTGAGAGCCAAGAGACCTGTCCCAAGCAGGTCACCCAGCGCCGTCAAGTAAGGGATGGAAAAGTTGTCGGGATCCAGGCCCCTACCCCACATCCAATGCACCATCCAGTCGGCAATGTAGAGTAGAATGAGAACCTGGAAAACAGACAAGAGGAAAGAGCCATATTATCTACTAATCCAGACTTTCACGCCCCTTTCTTCCCCAGAACAAAGCTTCCCAAGTTCCTCTATATTCAGGCACTTGCAATTCAGCCTGATTGAAGTGCGAGCCCCTATTAATCCCATTCAAGCCTAAGGAATAGTTTAGAGGAGTAAGAGATGGGTCTTGTTGTTAAGAGGAACCTCCTCAAGCAAGGGAAAACCAAAGATTTGATGGTGGGTACATTTCAGATTGTGGGCGGAGAGGGGCATGCCTGCAAGTGAGCATTTAGGGGGCACAAGAAGATGTAAGCTGGGTTTTTAATTCCCCTATGTGCCTTTGAAAACCTCCCCTTACTGCTCTATGCCCAATGCATCACCATCAGTTTATTTTAGGTGTACGAGAGAGTTCACTGCATGTGGGCTGAAAGCCTCCAAAATGAGGAGGCTCTGACCCAGATCCAAGTTTTGCAGCTCAGGTCACAACTCTAACCAAAAAAAAAACAAAACAAAAAAGAGGAGCAAGTGGACACAGAGCCAGGGAAGTAGAGGCAGGATCCAATCCACAGTTCACACCAGGGTGCCTCAGAGGTGAGCAGAAAGCCCAGCAGAGTTGGAGCAGCAGAGTCCTGGCTTCCTGGGGGCAGGACAGCGTCTCTGAGCAGTGACATGAATCCCCAGACGGTCACGTTCTCACCTTTGCTCTAGGACAACACTCAGGGTATCCCAAGTCAGTGGTTCACACTGAGTCCTAAGCAAAGCCAGGAGAAATGCTCACAAATGCATCTAGCAGATCAGGTACAGACATTTAAAGCCATCAACTTGTGACCGGAGTGAGGGCTGGAAGGATTAGGCCAAGGCCCCCTCCTTCACTACAATCCATTTAGTTACCCATGAGCCCCCACTTTGCTCGCAGGCCTGTGGCTTCCCACAATGCACCTCACTTTCTGCAGGGGGAAGAGCACCAGGGACTTTAGAAAGTGGTTGCTAAAGGACTTCCCTTCATGTGTCCAGCACACAGCAGGGGCTCGCGACTTAGACTAGCTGCCTTGTCTAGCGCGCTCTGTTTCTCTTTCTTGTGGATGCTCTGACTCATTTCCTGGAGCTCAGCTCGGTTGTTGATTTTAGGGGGATGCTAAAACCAGCAACAACTTCCACAAGCACCAGGAGGTGGCTGTGTTTAGTAGGATAACTCCTTGGCCACAGTCTCCCCTCTGTCTGCCTGTGTAGGAGGGGAGGGATATATTGGCTGCCTGAGTTTCCTGAAATGCCCAAAATCCCCCCTTACATCCCTGAGCACACACTCCTCACCTCAAGCACTGATTGTTATTTTACACAGAATCGGTCAGGAGCATGGGAGCCCAACACTGGCAGCCCAGCCAGATTTCTCCTGTGTGGGAAAGGCCCAGGGAAGGGAGGAAGAGCCCTACGAGTCACGGGAGACACTGCACACTTCACATCCTGTTTTCTCTGCCAAGCCGTTTGAACACTGCTACAGCCCCACTAGGCGCTCACAGCTCTTTACTGCCAAGGAAGCGAGTTTCCTGCTCCTGAGGATTTTAAAAGCCAAGTGTAGGCTGCAAAGCTACGGAAAGCAGCAGGTAAGCAGAATGAGTGCCCTGAGCACGGAAGGGAGTCGAATGCACTCATCTTCGCAGGGCTGCCGAAGCAGACAGAAGCACTTCAATTTACGATGTGCTGCTCTGTTCTATGAGAATTTTAATTCTACTCCTGTGACAACCATTTGTGAGATAGTGGGTTCCCTGCAGGGAAGGCGCTATAGGGAGGAATGTAACAACAGACGAGGATAGAGAGAGGCACCCTGAACCAGCCAGCCCCACCTGACTTCCAGCTACAAAGGTTCTTTTGCCGCCTGCAGCACCATAGTATCCAAACGCCTCCCAGTCACGCGTTAAGTGAGGTGACCGGCGTCTGTCACACGTGGCTTGATCTCGCCCACTCCCGAGGGAGAGCTGTGTGTGCAGTGGAGTGTTCGGAACAGCAAGGAGCACACTGCGCATCCCAAACATCTCTGTTCTCTGAAGGGGCATTTGGGATGCAAGAGGAGCGCTAGATCGGGGCCAGGAGATGCCCATTTCATGCTCTCTCTCTCTCTCTCTCTAGTCAAGGGAAGGGGTATTTTGTGTAAGCTCCCTGGAATAGGGATAGTCTTTGTGCTGCGGCTATACAGCGCCTAGCACAATGGGGTCCTGGACCATGACTGGGGCTAGCAGGCATTATGCTAAATGCAAATAATAAAGGGATATTTTGTATCCGTCCCAGGTGCAAGAATCACGTCATCTGTACTTATAGCTCTGCACCATGCAGATTCCCCTTACTGAGGAGAAAGTGCCTCACTCCATCCCACTTCTGAGGTCTGTCTACACTGAGGGGCGGCTGCCAGTGGGTCCCACCGAACTGGTGCGGAAACCGTTTTCTCTGCAACTCTAAATGAGACAAACCCTGTTTTCAGGCGCATGGGAGGTGACCCCTTTGCAGCAGTTGGCCAGTTTTCCACTGCAGGTGGTGCGTTAGTGTCCGTTATTCTAGCACGGGGATCGCAGTCCATGCAACGATTCACGCAGAGGAGACGGGTCAGGCAAAGCCAGCTCTTACCTGGAGAAGTGCAGCTGTCATATAGAAGACTACGAAGATCAGGGTGAGCGTGGTGTGCCCGCCTTGCATGGAGCTGATGGTGTAGAGGAAAACCAAGTGCCCAGGAACCACCAGGAGAAAGAGCACGCGGGCAGAGCGGGAATTCACATCTGGAGGGAAATTGAGAGGATGGAGCTCAGGATTTAAACAGATAATGGAACTCTGCAGCCAGCTCCCTGGGTGCCAGCATGGATGTGTCCACTAATCAGCAGACTACGTTCTAGTCCGATCACATGCCACAGCATATTGGATCCACACCTCTATGTGCTAAGTGCAAGGAGCGTAACAGAAATGCCCCGGAGCTCTGAACACTGGCTTAGAGACCCATCCGTACTGGGATCAGTTAGAGATAATGCACTTCTGCTCCTAGCACAGACAGGGCCAAAAGGGACAGGCGAACAAAGAGGCTCTACACAGATCCCAGTGGCCACAGAAGTGGTATCTTTCAGCAGGTGCTCAGTACGCAGCTTTCCGTAATTCACTGGGAGGCTGAATTTACTAAGGTGAATTCATAAGAGCAACTAAAGCAAGGTGCTTGGTGCTCCCAAGGGCTGTACCTGCCCCCTTTGGGGGCTCATTTTTCCAACCCTCTGTCCAGCACAGCCACACCGGACGTCTCCCAACACACACTGTAACAGATAATGCTGACATCCGAGACCGTAAAGCACCGAGCTCAGCTCCACAAGGCCACTCTTCTGGGGGCTGCCTTGCCCCCAGAGGCCAGGCCAGTCCAGTCCCAGGCTACGGGCTGCCCCAGGCATGGTAGAGAATAAATCTCAGCACATGCACTGCATGAAATGCAAATCAGGATTCCCGCTGCAACGTTCCCCCCACCATGTCCATCCTCACTTGAAACGTCTGGGTCTGCAGCTAAATAATGGAAACATTATGGAGCCTCTATATTAACAGGAACCTTTTCTGGAGCTTCAGTTATACTGGCCAGGCCAAGCCGAGTCGCTGGCTGGCAGCTTCTGCAGCCCAAAAGCACTTGGTGAGGATTTAGAAGGTGGCGGGGAAGAAGTCATTCCAATGCTGGGGAGTCAGAGGCCACGAAGGCGGCCTTCTTTTCCTAACCCAGCGGGGACGCTCCACCTCCCCAAAACAGCACTGACACTGTCTCTGTAAGCAAGAGCAAAGGCCAGGCCAGCGCCTGGTCTCTCTGCCTCCCAGCAGGTCTCAGCTCCCATTTCCCTTCCTTGCTGCTTAGTGACCCCTCCCTCAGTGCAAGCTGAGCCAGCTAATCGTCAAGCCATTTCAGGATGCCGGTGAAGCGAACTGGAAGTCCCCTAGCTCGGAAAGCCCCAGCGCATGGCGCTGCATAGAAGGAACAGATACCTGAGCTGAAGAATGTGCTGCAGGGGGTGGGGCACTTGCGCGGGGCCATCTCTGAGCTCTCGCCCGGGATTCCGCTCATGTGGAGGTAAGTGGAGATGCGACTAGCCTGGACAGCTACCAGGTTGCCACCGACACCTGCAGGCCAGAAGGGGAGCAGTGAGAGCGGGCGCGTAACTCAACCCCCGCAGAACTCGGGCGCACTTGAGACTTCAGGAGCCAAGTTAAACTCTATTGGCCTTTGAACTTCAACCCTTTTAATGCCTCCGGAACAGCCAGACCAGCAGGTGAACGAGTCCTCTCTTGCTCCTCGCAGGTAGAATTCTTTTGCTGTGTTGTCAGAAAGCAGCTGCAACTGCTTCAGTTACAGATCGAGCTGTCAGCCCTCTATTTCTGGCCCACATTCCACTTTTGCAGAATGCAAAAAGCCAGAGAGAAAGGACACTGCTCTACAACCCCCCTTTATGACTCCTGCTGCAACTGCATTATTATAGAGCCTTAAGTGCAGTGCGTGGGACACAAAAACAATGGGCCAGTCATGGCAGTAAGTTGAAAACTGCTAAGAATTTTGTTTGAAACACAGCGCATTACCTGCGGAACTCATTGCCACAAGCCCAAGAGATTCATAGCATTTTTTAAAAAGTGTGCAACATACAGATAATGAGCAGACCCACAGTTCTATTAGCAAAGAAGCCTAAGGCACTAGAAGTTTCAGACCCAAGCTCAAGGAACAGGGAAGGGGCATCAGACTGGATAAAATATTCAAAGACACTTAGGTGCATAGGTGCATCTTTGCTGAAGTATCAACTCAAGGGTAGATCACTTGAGATCCTTCCCTCATGTTAATCTATCACCAGGAGCAGCAGCCACACTGCAGAGCAGCCGAGTTGCTCTAACACCCTGTCTCAAGCCTAGGAGCCAAAATCCCATTGGCATCTACAGATGCAGGCTCCTAAATCACTTTTGAAAATGGGCCTTGGGCACTTTTGAAGATTCTACCCACTGTTTGGCAGGGACTGCCGAGAGGCTCATTGGCAGAGCAGAAGGGAACTCACCATTAATCACCGGCGTAAAGACGGCTATCCCCGCAAAGTTTGGATCCGACACCGTTTTGTCCAATATTAGCCCTCCAACACTGCAAGGGAAGACATTGAAGGAGTTGATGCCCAAGAGAAAATGACCACTCAGAACATCCAGAGACTCCCAAGCAATTATGATGGTCACACTTAGGTAGGCATGAGAAGCAGTGCCCACTGTTTGTGAGGCTGGTTACTGCAACTCTGCACATGTCACAGGCATCTATACCCATTTACGCAATGGCAGCAGTTGCACATGGACTCTGGGGCCTCTTAAAGCTGGTGCATAATATCAGAGCATCGAGGGAAAAGGGTTACTAGTGTGTCATAGTAAAAGACAGTTTTGGCAGGAGCCACAGAGTCAGGTAGGGGGTGCTTTCCCATGATGCAAGTTGCATTTTGGCACACATCACACCAGCTGGTTTGTAAGTTTCAGTCAGACAACATTCCCCAACAGGAACAGAGATCGTAAATCCTTGTGTACCTAGTGTAGAAAGAGCCTTTTGCTGTAACAAACCCGTCTGGGGCAGTCACTTCCTAGAGATGGCTCTTGTGGTGAAGGCGCTAGACTGGGACTCAGGAGGTCTGGGTTAAATTTCTGGCTGTGCCACAGACTCTCTATGTGATTATGGGCAAGTCACTAGATCTCTCTCTGTCTCTCAGCTCCCCACCTGTAGAACAGGGATAACAATACTTTCTTCCCCCCATTCTTTGGAAGAGGGACTGTCTCACTATGGGTTTGTAGAGTGCCCAGCCTGGTGGGGCCCTGATCCCAGGTGGGACCCTTAGATGCTAAGGTGACAGCAAACAGACAGGTACTTGGGGGCCCTGTTTTAGGAGATACTTGTTTGGTGCACATTAAAATCTGTTTGACATACAGCGGGTGAAATCCTGCTCTCAGATCCAGAGGAGCACCCTCCGACAGTTGCATAGGTTTAGGAGCAGAATTAGCCCACTTACGCTGGAGGGATGTGCCATTGTTGCTCTATTCCTAGAGAGGGGCATGGGCTGTAGATCTGAACGTTAACATTTGAAGGGGTTCGGTTCCACCATCTCCGTTTCTTATGCACAGCATGCACCATTCGGGCAAGCGCCTGAAGGGAAGCCAGGGTGTCCCTTCCTGGTAAGGCTGGGGCAAAACAGTCATTTCGTGCCTTCCTACCTGCTAATAGCCATGGCAATGATGACTGGCTCCCACCCAGAGTACAGCACCTCCCGGGTTACTGGATTCCTCTTGGCAATGATGATCCAGAGCGGTAGCAGGGCTATGAAGAAGGCACACACCAAAGGATTCACGTACGCTTTGTCCTCTGAAAAGAGAAGCAACAGGTCAACAAGCCCTCCTGCCAGATGTCATGGGTCACTACTCAACAGCAGTGTTGGACAGCAGACCTGGTCCCATTTCCCCTTTGACCTCAGGCCCTGGGAGTCTGCGAGAGCCAGACATGGCCACCCCGCCTTCAGGAGGTATGCTATTGTCAAGGCTGCCCCCTCTGGATCAGCTCTTACCGCTGCTGACGACGTGCCCTCTAGGAAAAGCCCGGTTCCCAGCCTCTCACCCCGTTCAGCCTTCACCTGCTGGGCAAAACCTAGCAGCCACGCCTGCCCTCTCCTTGGAATGTCGTTGAAGACATGTCCCAACCAAGGAGACAGCCACAGCTCTGCTACTAGGGACCCGCCCAAGCCTTACGCCAAGGATGCTTTCTAGCTTCTGGCACTTGCCAAAAAGCAGCCCTTGCCTGTCTGACGGGCAGGGTGCACCCAGAGCACCCCCAAGCCTCTCCGCACCTGTGTGGTCTATGAAGATCCTTTACATTTCTCTCCCCTCCCCCCAGTCATCTCTGAATATGCCTTAGAGAGGCAGCCTCAAGATCAGGCATTACATAGATCCCCTTAAAAGCTGGAATGGAGGGCAAGATGCCAGGGAAATGCTGCAGCGCACGTTAGGAGGGGATAAGCATCTCTCACTTCTCACCCAGCTCTATGTAGAGGCCCCAGCTGATCCCTGAAAGCAGCGCCAAGGTGATGAGGTCCCCCAGGCTGGCAGCAATGGGCGTGGCCACATTATCTGGGTTGATCCCTATCTTTCTGGATCCGATGATAACTCCGATCATGATCATTCCTAGGCCCAGAGGAAGAAATGGCGTGAGCCGAAAGGCACCGCTGCTCAGACTGAGCGGCCGCGGCCGAGGGTTTAGGCTTACCCAGCACGAGTGAAGCTATGAAGGCTGTGGCGACACTACTGGCACAAAGCAGGATGGCATGGCCAATGCTGAAGTGCCCATCTGGGATCCAGCCAAATATCACGGCAGCAATCGAAGCCAGGAAACCGACCACTGTAGCTTGAACCTAGCACACATGAGAGGTTAAACCAGACATAGGTTGGGAAGAGAGAGAAACCAGTCCCAGTCCCAGTCCCACCTGGATTAGTTGGGAGGAAGAAGAGACCGCAATATACCAGTGGGGGAAACTTTTAGGGAGGATTAATTGCGGCACAAGAAGTCACCGTTTGCTTTTCCACCAGACATTCTGCATCAGTATTTAAACTCTCCTTCCAGTGTCACTGTTGCACAGCCCCCACAGCCAGCCCCATTTCCCCCAATTTACCTGAATCAGAGCCATGTTCCCCATTATCATCCTCCAGAGCTCCTTGGGTGTGTCTATGTGCCCGATGTTAGCCTGTAGGAAGAGACCACGGTATCGGTTAGACTGAACCCCTCTCAGATGGCTAGCGCTCAGGGAACTTGTTCACAGTGGCGGTACATTTGGCGTGGGGCAGGCGAGAACAATTCGAGACCCAAGCCCTCCGGGATGATGGTTCAAGAGAAGAAAAAATTAGCATTCCATTGCTGTTCGTGACATTCCTAATGGCCCCACGCGTCAGCCGGGCGACAGGAACAGAGCAGCAGGATGCGGACACGAGCAAGGTGGCCAATCACCTCCCACCTCCAGCTGAGAAGGGAATGAGCTACAGAGTCAAGAGGGCTTCCTCTATTGCTTTCGGGGTTCTCAAGGTCCTCAGTTCTTGCAGACACAAGAGACTCCTGCACCCAGCGGCTGACAGATCAGTGAAGGAGGAGCTGGGTATCAGCTATCTTGGTCTACTGCTTTGAGCACAGAACAGGGTGGCAGGAATGTTCCATTTCTAAGTCCAGAGCCACACTCCAGTCCCCCTTAATTGCCTCCATTTCTCCTAGCTGCAGAAGCCAGGTTAACACGTATGCCACAAGGGCAGAGCAAGGATTCAGGGTTTGCCAAGTGCTCTGGAGACCAGGGTCTACAAAGACTTTGCCAGCGAATCTGGGACGGTGGCAGGACCTCCTCCATTTCCCCTTTAGCACACGCTGGAATGGGGAGTGAGACATTGCTGATGCTTTCCCAATGGAGCTCCTAATACCACGTCTCACTACCAATTCTGGCTCACACCCATCTGGGTCATGCTGCTCCCACAGCTGGCCAAAGGGCTCAATACCCCAGCTCTGCTATCAGATCGGACCCTAAGCTCTGATAAGGAAGGCCAGGGTGATGGCAATGAGAGTTTTTCCTGTTAAATAACATTAGGTAAACAAAGCTAATGCCCTGTGGAAGCCTGGTGAGTGGTGGGAAGCAGCCACAGCACATGGGGGTCTTTTGGCACCAGGATGGCTGCAAAAGACACTAATCAGCTTAAACAGAACAGACTAAAAGTTGCTGTAATCTGGCAGCAGACAACTTTGCTGTTTTGCAACATTTGAGCAGAGTTACTGCAGAAGGCCCTGCCATACTGTCCCTTGCAGGTCTCTATGCGATTTAGAGACACTAAGAATCACAGCACCCCCAGAGATGCAGAGCAAGGATTGTGGGGCCCAATTTAATAACAGAAACTGATGCAGAGAGGGGAAGTGACAAGCCAAAGGTCACAGTGACCAGGTGTCAGAAACAGAACCCAGGCGTCCTGACTGCTAGCCCCTGGTTCAAGCCACAAGCCTACGCAGATCCAGGAGAACATCCGATGAAGTGGGTTCTAGCCCACGAAAGCTTATGCCCAGATAAATTTGTTAGTCTCTAAGATGCCACAAGGACGCCTCGTTGTTTTTGCTGATACAGACTAACATGGCTACCACTCTGAAGTGTGTAAAGGGTTCCCTAAAGCACAAGCACGGCCGTTAACAGTTAGAAGGGATATGGTGGCAGTTTCCTTCCCTCCAGTTTCTGTGCCAGAGAGAAATCAAGGTCAGGCAGCTCAAATAAGCATTCTTTCCCCACTGCCCAGTCCCTGCCACTTCTTGTACATTTCCATAGCATCTTCCAAACCAGCAATTGCAGAGGCTCTGACAAAGCACTTCATTCACTACTGAAATGCAGCCATTTCTGGGGTGGAGCACGGCAACTCTAAACTGTTCAGGACAGGAAGGGAAGAAAAACAACGTAGCCAACCGAGTTGGCCGGGTCAATTTAGTAAAAGAGAACAGCTGCCCAAGTTGGAACGTGACCATGACTCCAGGGTAACACCCCTCCTCTTGCGGCATTCGACTCTCATTTGAAATCTATTCCCAGGCCTCGAGTTACCAGGGCACGTGGCATGTGGGTGCCATTCTCTTCAGGAAGGAAGAGCATCCATGCCTGAAAATAAGTCTTCAGACACTAAGGGAGCCTGGGTTTAAGCGGCATTCTCAGGAATTTCTGCAGTCTGGCCAGTTCAATGCGGGGGGGGGGGGGGGAAAGGAAAGAGGCAACTACAGGAACAATCAGCACATACCCCACAGGTATTTTAGCTCAGTATGAAGCTGGATCTTAAATTCCTGCCATCAGGTCAGGATTAACATAACCTGGCTGTAGTCAGTAGCAACAAGATTTTAATCCCCTAACAGGAAAGTTTTGCTTCCTAATGGTGAAAGGAACTGGCTGGGGAGCATTAATGCAGCTTTAATGAGGAATGTGGAGCCTGCAGAAGCCATTCCAGGCTGCTGTCCTGCAGAGTCAGCACAGTGACCACGTCCCAAGCGATTCCTTTGAGAAGGGCTCTCCGCTGCCACCCTACAGGTGTCCTCTTACGCCTAGGAAGGAGCAGAGCAAGAGGGGAATAAAAAGCAAGCCAGATGGGTCGTCGGATCCCATCACACGTGCATGCCAAAGAGACCCCGAGGAGGCCAGAAGGGAGTTTAATAGTTTAAAAGGCAGCGTGTCATTCCACCCCCCATGCACCAAGCTATAACTGATCCCCTATGGGCCAGAAGCCACGCTAATTTCTCCACACTAGTCAGATCAAGGTCATGGCATGTCAGTAGGCGGCACAAGGAGACCCAGCTGGCACAGACAGGGCTGCTCGCAGGCACAGAGCGTCAGAGGGAGGCAGATAGGCTGGGTCATTGCTCTCTCTGTGCCCTGGTTCTCTTGTGGCCCTGCTGTGGATATGGAGGGAGATAGGAAAGTTTGGCATTCCCCTGACTGTCTGCACAGCATGGGCAGTCTCGGTTCCCTGCTAAGGCCCCAGCCCTGGGCCAGCACCACTGCTGGGAAGGTGGGGGATGGAGGAAGCGGTGCACTCTGCCTTTGTCCCAGAAGAGCTAAGCTCTGATCCCAGCGACGCAGTGGGGGCTGCATGCTTAGTGCATGGCTGGACAGAGCCAAGCCTGCCAGCTGAGGAAACTGCTCCCTCCTCCACACCACCCCCCAAAAGACCTCACATCCCTCACATGCTCCAAACAATAAGGATGAAACAAAGGGATTTGTTTCCCCAAGTGGAAGAGCAAACAAAGTCTGGCCTGCACGGACATTAGCTTCACCACTCAGCCTTTGCCTCTGGCAGAATCGCAGCTGGCTTCTGCTCCCACCCGGCACAATGAGGAGGGGAAAGCTTGTTCCCACCATCAGCTGGAGACAAGGAAGCTTGGCACCGAGATGACAGCCTCGGCAGCAGGCGCGGCGTGCCAGCCGGTAGTTGGCAATGTCATTTCCCGGCCAGATCTCTGCTTGCTTCTTAGGAGCAAGGGCACCAGGGCCAAGAGCTGCAGAGGCTGGATTCAAGGAGGAAGAGGAGTTGTTCTAGTCAGCGGTAACCAGCTGGGGGGTTGTAGCGGTAGGATGCCCTCTGTGCTTCACCCTACATGCAGAGCTGAACCAAGAGCTAATCCAGATAGAGCCTCTTTCTCGCTACCCACCCCAATGTTGGCCAGGGAGCCCCAATTCTGACGTGGGGGCTAGAGACTAAACAACCCACCTCTCTGCAAACTAGACGCCTCCAGAACACTGAGCCAGCGTGACGCGGCAACACAAGCGTCACCGTGCACCGGGGCAGGGTCCTGCAGGACACATGGAAATGTAGCGGCTGTTCAGTGTGGGAGAGGGGCTGCAGGAGGAAGAGCAGAAGACGAAGTCAAGAATACTTTGAGAGCCTGCTCTTCTGCCTACAAGGAAGAGCCATGCACTTGGCCTGCTGGCATCGGGGCACAACAGGGGCCATGTGAGTCACAGTCAGGGAGGCAGAGGAGAGGCAGCTGGTCTCGGAACCACAGCTGGCATTACTCCCCTGGGTCAGGGCTCAGACATACTAAAGAGGCCTGGCAGAGACAGAGACACGCGCAACTCTGCCCAGGCTTTCTGCCAGCTGTGCTCACTGCTCCCCTCTAACCTGACAGTGCTCGATGAAGTCCTGCGAATGCCTCGCCCCCCCAAATCCTCCCTGGGTAGCAATCTGAGTCAGCAATTTCTGAGCACAGTTTCCTGCGCCTCTGTCCCCCGAAGACCAGGTCCGGGCTGTTTGCTTTGAGGGCTGCACTCTGAACGTGTTAATTCAGAGGGCGGAGAGAGGTAAGCGCTGAGCTGTAGGCAGCCGGTACTGTTGTGCTTGAAGAATCACAGCTGTGGACCCCATTGTGGGATGTGCTGTGAAGCATGGAAACATCCAACAGTCACCTGTTGTCACGCCCTGGAAGAATGGGCTTTATGGAAAGGGAGGAGAATTTCCAGTCCCTAACAGGAAAGGATTCCAGGCCTCCTGCCCAGCTCAGCTACAGGGACAGAACGCTCCGTTAGTGCCAGAGCACTGACGAGAAGCAGTTCAGTTATAACCGCGCTAACTTGGTATTCAGGCGCTTAGCCTAGTCCTGTCTTGGCAGTCTGGAGCGCCTGCCCCCATCTCAGTCTATTTTATGGATCTGGCCATTACACTCACACAGAGGCAATGCCCGATCTTGCCCTTCCATTGACTTCCAGAGGTTTTCAGCTAGGATGCCAATGCTCTCTGCAGGATTCCACTGGACAGGAGAACTTGCCTCCAACCTTGCCCCTGCAGCACGATTCTCTCAAAGCCCTGCAGCCTCTGCCACTCACAGGCTTTCCCCAGCCTGCTTTTGGGGCATTTCTGAATTTAGTTTCCTGAAGCACAAATCAGATCCCTTTCAACTAGATCAGAACTCTCCCAGCTAAACACACCCACCCCCTTCTGGATCCAGCAATGCTTCCAGGCAGAGCAGCACTCACGGCAGGGGAGAGCCGTACACCAGGCTTTAGGATTCTTCCTGCTCGACTCATATTCAAAACCCCTTCCTGAATTGCCAGGCTCTTGACAAAATGGCCACTGTGACAGAGAGCAATTTCCCGCAACATTCTGGACACACCTCATCGAATGAAGTTTAATACCTTCAGGGTCCATGGTATTAAACATGCAATTGTTGATGTGTTATTGTAGGATTGCACGTAACTTTTCCAGAAGACTGACTAATGTAAACCCTGGGGAAATGTTAGGAACTTAAAAAAAAATAGAGTTTGTGACAATATGTGTGAAGTAGGCTTCATAGGAGGTATTAGAGAGGCCTTTTTAAGCTATGCCCTGGGGAGAAAAATCCACTGTCTACTGAATACCTGCTCCTGGAAACTCCAATTCAAAGACCCCTGAACGGTATAAAAGATGGATTAAACTTCACATGAATGAGCTAGTGCTGAACTGAGGCTATTACGAACCTGCACCCATAGAAGAGACCCCTTTGTGGGGTTTAAAGGACTATCAACTGGCAGAGCCCATGTCGGAGTTGGGGTGATCTCTGGGAAGCTTATTAGCATGTGTGTAGGTTCTTTTATTGTTTTTAATAGGTTCTCTCTGTAATGTTTTTACCCTAAAAATAAATAAGTGCAGGGAAAGAGCTGGGCAGTAGCCTAACTGTGTCAGTTACTCGGCTATTAGACTCGGTGCTGGGGTCTGCTTAGACAGTCTGTCTTGAGCTGGGAATAACACAGTGAAGGCAGGGAACTGTTCAGCCTGAAGATAGCCCAGTCAGAAGGGAGAGAAGTGTGTCTCCATCCATGCATGGCAACTGCCAGTGCGTGCCCTTGCTGGACCACTGAGGGGAAAAACAGGTGTAGTTGCCATGAACTGTGACAGGCACCATTTTTGCTGACTGCTCATCTGATTTGATCCCAAAGGCCCCCTGCTTATGGGAGATGCTTAAAATCAGGCTCTTCTCTTCCCCTCCCCGCATCCCCAAAAAACGGTTCTTCTTTCTCTCATGACTCAGTACCCCGCTAATCAAAGCAGGGCAGGGGCAAGAGCTGCGTGAGCTGGCGTCCTGGGCACGGGATCCCCGTGAAGATAGTTCAGGGACAAAGAGAGAGGGGGCAGACAGGAAATGTCTCGACTGCTCTGACTGGATGGAATCACGAAGAGGAGGGGTGACATTTACCTGGACTTCAGGAACACTCGCTACCGTGCAATACTGAAAACTCACTGAGAAGCATAGCAAGGCCCCCCCTCGGAGGGCAAGCCAAATGAATGGACTGGCAGTGGCACTGGCCAGGGGACAGCTGGTGCAGCCTGGGATAGAGAGAGGAAACTGGTGGAGCCCTGGAGACTGGCAAACCCACAATGATACAGTTCAGAGCAACTGCATAATGAAGTGTCTATATCTAGGCAAATCCATCAGTGATTTAAGCCACCACAAAGTCAGTGGAAGGTGCAAAGGAGTCCACGGACAACGGCTACATGCCCCCCCGCTCCCCCCAGCAGCTCTCTTTTCCCCTCCTCTCCACAGAGAAACACAAGCAGACATGGAATTTCCCTCCCCATCCCCCATCCCATCCCAGATAACTCACAGCTGTAGAAAGACGAGATGCCAGCGTCATCTCTAGGTTCCCCTTCAGTCCCAGCAATGCAGGAACCAGGATAAATACTTCAGTCACATTTTTGAACACGTCCCAGTGCTGCAAGACAAAAAGAGTTTATGTATTATACATAGTGTACACACACACACACACACTCTCTCTCTCTCTCTCTCTCTCAAAGAATCTTGGTACAAGGTAACAGGTGCAGATGGTAAGCTCTTGGGGGGCAAGGATGGTCTTTTTGTTCTGTTTGGACAACACCTAGCACTAAGAGTTCCTGTTCCATGACTGGGATTACAAGGCACTTCCATAGAATACCAGCCAGACTGTAGAGGAGCTTAATTTCTAGCTCTCCTTCCTTCAGAAGTACATCTGTGGCAGGTGAAACACAGAACTGGTAATAACTAACTCCCCAGCCTCAAATGCTTTGACTATACCCCCAGCTCTGGCTCCATTCCTTCCGTTTCAAGACCGCGGGACCGCCAAGCTCTTTGCAAAGTGGACCCAAGTGTTGGAAAGCCTCCGTTTTCCTATAGCAATGACTGGAGTCATCCTCCACCTCCTACCGCAGCACAAAGGCAGTGGCAGGATTTGAACACTGGGCCTCTCTTCGTCAATGGTAAGAGCAGTGGCGTAGCCAGGTGGAACCAACAGGGGGAGCGATCACAAAAAAAGGCGCCACCCGCTGCGGCACTTTTACTCACCCGGCGGCGCTTTTACTGACGGGGCGGCGCTCCGGGTCTTCAGCAGCACTTCGGCGGCGGGTCCTTCAGTGCCGCCGAACACACCCGGAGCGAGTGAAGGACCCGCCGCCGAAGTGCTGCCGAAGACCTGGAGCGCCGCCAGGTGAGTAAAAAAATTACCGTAAGAGCCTGCTCGACTATAGATCAAGCGTCTATCTACTGAGACCAATAGGCCCTGCTCTTATGAACGGATGCAGACCGGTTACAGAGTCAGTTATCGGAGAAGCCTAACTGTGCTACACCTTCGTTCTGAAGTGAATTTCAGGAAAGCTATTTCATTATTTACGCAGTTGGACATTTTGACTCTGTGTAGCCCATGAATACATGAAACTAGAACAAACCTCCTCTGGGACGCTGTAGGCCCAGCTGAGATCACAGCCCCATTGTGCGAGGGGCTGTATATACACCTCGTAAGAGAGGGTCCTTCCCTAGAAAGCTCATGCTCTAAACAGACAAGACATTTTACAAACACGGAAACGGAGGCACAGAGAGATCCAGTGTCGGACAGTCACTTGAAGTGTTTGGCAGAGCCAGGAACTGGACCCAGGTCTCGGTCCCAGTCCAATGCCCCACCCACAAGACCATCCCCTCCGCGTGTGGGGTGCAAACACAGACGTTATGCTGCCAAAATTCCCACTGCCTTCCTCCTCCGCCAACCCCAGAAAAAGACAGCATCACATGCTCTTGGCTTCTGCCGGAGCAGGACAGACGGATTTATCCTGCTAAGGGAGGGAGCCTGCCCTCCCTCGCTCTGGAACCTGCATTGCTAAGAGACATGCTGCTGCCTACTCCGCCCCCACAGCCAACTCGGTTTCCTTGTGCTAGAGACAGAGCTAACAACACTGGGCTGTTCAGGAAAGAGATGAAGAGTAATTGCAGGGTAAAGAGCCCAACAGCAGAGCAGCTGGCTTCTTAAGGCAGGATGGGGAAAAAAAACCACCGAGACCACAGCTGAAAAACGGAAGGCTTAGAAAAACCTCAAGGGGTCAACGTTTTACTTTCATAAGCATTGAGCAAAAGGCTTCTTTGCTCCCTCTATTGCCGAGATCCTGCCTGCCCGCAAGGGGAGCGAAGCATCGTTGGAATAGATCCGGATGGCGATGGTGGTGCCTCAATCTCTGAGTAAGGCCATCTGCCTCCCCAACAATACGTATGTAATGCAGCTTCCCTTAGGCAACACTACAGAGAATGCCATGAGTTGCCTCTCTCCTGACAGGATGGTGGGGATGCAGACAGGACGCTTTCCCCTTCCCGTGGTGGCACACGCTGGTATCTCAAAGATGGGGGCACTCTGACCCTGAGCACGGGTCAAAACCAAGTCTGAATGTAAAGCTGTTTCACTGTGTCCTGGCACTCCCCCGTCCAGCTGTACCTACCTGTTGTCTCCAGTCTAACACCTGGACTGTAAGTTCTTTCGGGGCAGGGACTGTCTTTGTGTTCTGTGTTTGTACAGCGCCTAGCACGGGGGGTCCTGGTCCAGAGTTAGGGCTTCCGGGTGCTATGGTAACACAAATTAGTAACAGCAAAGGCTGGGCAAGACTCATACAGGTGCAACGGCACCAGCATTACCGTGCTCTCTAGAAAGCTGCCACTGGATGTTCCCACAATTAATGTATTTGCAGCCACGGCCCCTGCTGCTCTCATGATATCCCCTAAGGCCTTGACTACGATGGGCTGTTTAGATCTCCCACAGCTGCACTGCCATTGGTGCAGCTCTAGACTGGCAGAGATCCCGACAGCTGGCCAGATGTGTGCTCTTGTCTATTACAAGGAGCCCTGCACACTTAAAACTTACTGCAAACAGGGAGCTCTCTACCTGCATTAGTAACCCCTTCCCTCGGGGAAGGATTTCAATCACCTTGTTTATTTTTCCATTTTTTGTGCCCTTTACCTTCAGTGGTGGGACAACAGGAGTCAGGGAGGACAGTTTCTCTGCCAGGTTCTCAGCACTGCAGTGTTTGGCTTACTCCTGGCAGGAGAGTGGTGGTTTGAGAGGAACTGTTTCCAATGGAATTAAGAAAACATCATGGCAACATCTCTATCAGTCTGCGGTTTATTTTAAGAACAGTTATCCAGATTTGGGGCCAAAGCAAAACCAAAGGCCTCACTTAAACCACCTGCAAGACCTGCAGGTTCAGTAATGAACAGGGTCATTGGCCCATCCCTCCCAGCCACCTATCCAGCCTTGTCGCTGCCCTTCCCAGAATCACACAGAACGCAGCTCGGGAGCTGGATTTGTCTCACTGTTTTTAACCTACTGTCCAGTGTTTAGAGCAACAGCCTGGGACTTAAGCCCAGGTTTAATTCCTTGCTCAGCCACAGACTTCCTGTTTGACCGAGTGCAAGTCACTCGGTCTCTCCATGCTGCAGTTCCCAATGGAGACATTCCTTCCCGGCCTCACCAGGGTGTTGCTAGCATTCTTTAAAGACCGACAATGGATATGGATGAATCTGGTTGCACGTGGGGCCTAAAACTTGTCCCACTTTCCTCAGAGGGTCTCCAATCTGAATTGAGTGGGATTTTCCCTAGGCACCTTAGCAATTTAGGACCATCGTAAGCCTTCTAGCGTTCCTGTGAGATGGGCAAGGGTTAGCCCCATTTTGCAGATGAGAATAACGGAGCAGGTCAGTTACCTGCAGCCCTTCCCCCAAACCTAGTTACACAGCAACTCCACGGCAGAGTGGGGACAAGCACCCAGGCCTCTGCTGCCCTTCACCAACCTGAGCAAAATCCTCCCAGCTCCAATTCCGGATGCGATAAGGAGCTGAAGCCAGTGCATTTGAGCAGCCTAGTCAAGCGATCGTTCTCAGCTCCTGGTCCAGGGACCTTTGCATCACCGCGGAGGGCTTTGTTAAATGGCACAGTTTCAGGGTCAGTACTTGAGCACATCTGGCAAAGGGGGTGTCAATCTCAGCGCCTGAGGGGGTAGGGAGGAGCAGCAGCAGTGCCCTCAAACATTTTGTTGGCTACAGGGCTTGTCAGGCCGGCCTCCTTTAAGGTCACAGATAGGAGTGGCTGAGCTCCGCTTCCCCGAATGACTCTTTTTAGGCCTGCAGTAGGAGATGCTGCGGTTACTGCACTGCCAGCTCTGCGGGGGCATCCGGAGAGCCTGATAGGGCCGGCCCTATCAGCACACACATGCACTCAATCGCTGGTTACCGTGCTTCCCACATGCAAGCCGAGGGAGTCAGGAGTCCCTGGGGCTGCTCAGGGAAGACAACACGCTCTTGTTCAATCACAAGTTGGACCAGGAGGAGGAATCACTGGGCAAAGTTCCATGGCCTGTATTATGCAGGTCAGACTAGATCATCTGAAGGGTCCCTTCTGGGCTTAAAAATTAAAAAAAAAAAAAATAAAAAAAATATCTATGGATACACCAAAATCTGTCCGGGGATTGGTCCTGCTTTGAGCAGGGGGTTGGACTAGATGACCTCCTCAGGTCCCTTCCAACCCTGATATTCTACGATTCTATATGGTCACTTGCCTCTCTAAAGATCCTTTCATCCGAGCGGGAACAAGGTCTAGTAGTCACAGAATGGGAATCAGAATTCCTGGGTTCTAATCCCAACCCTCCCACTTAGTGACCAAATCATTTCACCTCCATGTCTGTGGCTCCATCCATTTAATGGAGAGAATGACGCTTGAGTCATCGGAGATGGATTTCAGAGGTGCTGAGCACCGGCAGCTCCCATTGACCCACTTCTGCAGGTCACCTTTAAAGCACCGGATGTTGCGAGTGCTCAGCACTTTTGGAAAAAGAGCTCAGCTATTTAGTATTTTATCTGGGGCTCAGTGTGGCCAAGGGGACTGCTACTGCAGGGCTTTGGAAAACCTCCCCCATCTACCAAGTCCAGGCCAGGCCCTATGGCAACAGTAGACAGCGCACGCATTAGCCTGGGAGCTAGAGAACAAGAGAAGGCCGCAGGGTCAGTCTGTATCCAGCAGCCCCTTTGTATTAATTATACAAGAGCCCTGCCTTTGTCACAAGGGACACTACAGCAGGAGGTCCAGGCGGCAGCAAGAGGAACCTCCAGCCGTCTCCCGGTCTTGCCCACATATACTGCCATTGTACATTGACCTTTAAAAGTCTACACAGTAAGCGAGTGCCAGGAGAGCTGCTGGAACTTGTAACCAGAACCTGCTACAGCACGTTTGCTCAGCAGGGCAGACGCTGGGCCAAGTCAGGGATGTTCCTAGAAGAAGGGAGTGGAAAAAAGCTGTTCCCAAGGAGGGAAAACAAGACTTTCCCCCTGCATCAGCAGCTTGCTTGCTGCAGAGGGCAGGACCCACGGGCTCCTGCCAACTTTCTTATTATAAGATGTTACACAAGCCCAATGTACGGGCATATTTATATCAGCCCCAATGGCTCCTATGGGGCACAAAGCTCGCTGCAGGGGAGTGTGCCCAAGGAACAGGCCTTTGGGGGATAATGCAACTCCCCTCCTCCCCCCCGCTTAAGTGCTATTGTGCACAGAACTTCAGGAGAGACCCATGCCATTGATAGAGTCATTCAAATCCCCTCTGGCTCCTGTCAACAGCATGAGAAAAAGTGTTTCTGAGGCTGAAGAGGGGAATCAGACAGTCAACAGGAAGACCAAACAGATCCTGGCAGTCTCCGCTGTCTGCTGACACATCTGCTGACTTGAAACTTGGGCAGTGCCTGATCTGTGCCAGGGCAGAGCCCCGGCACCCGTAGGCTTGGCAGTTCACAGCCCCGGCACCACTGAGCTCGCTGCATCAGTTATGAATGTAAAATAATTGCTAGAGCCCCGGCACCTCTTTCATTCCAAATTAAACACTGAACTGGGAGTAAGATTTTCAGAAGCACAAGAATCTGGCTAAATCCCTTTTGCAAACATGACTTAGGCACTTCGGAACCCAACTTTAAATGAAAGTCAGTGAGACTTATGGTCTTAAATCCCATTCACTTTCATTGAAAGTTAAGTCTCATTTTGAAAAGTGCCTTTGGAACCCAGGTGCTTTTGAAAGTTTTACCAAGTCAAGCTTTTAAATTCCTGGTAGTAACGAGAGATAAAAATACAGTGAGACATGGACTCTATTCTGCTTCACATACTACACTGTCAGTTAAGCTCCCCAGCAGAGAGTATTATGGGTGATCGGTCACAGAAGACACAAGGGGTAAATTGCTTCATGGTCAAACCACAGGATGTATTTGCAGCCTTAGCAGTTAGGAAAATAGGAGCGCCTGGAGACTGAATTTCCACCCCTTGAGAATAAATATGGAACCACATCAAACTTTTTTTTATTTTCAAGTCACACAAACTTCCAACGGTAGCCGCAGTTTAAGGTCACGGACTACACTTGTAAAGTTCAAGAGCTAGCACATACCATCAAAAGCCACCCACCTGCCAAGTGGAGCTTTTACAACAGTCTTGCTGAATAAGAGATGACCCAGGCCTGTGCAAAAGTGCTGTTACTTCAAGGACAACAGCTGCATCTAAAACTCCGTCATGTGTTTTGGGTAACCATATCTGGGAGTTTCAGAGCAGCACAGTTCTGAACAGGAGCAGGGTCCTGATGCATGATGTTTAGTGATCCCTGGAAAGGAAGAGGTGAAGCACCCTGGGGAGGACACAAGTTAGGCCAGGGAGTAAAGACACTTGGCATATTCTGCCTTCTGTCCCCATGCCATGTCCCTCACGACACCCCTAGAGTGTTAGGTCAAGGGGCTGGGCCCCAATCTCCACTCAAAACCAAACCCAGAAGTCAGGCCCCAGGTCACCAGTAAATACTTGGTGCCACCTGCAACCTGGGAAAACATAGTTGTTTCAACACCACTTCGCTTTGAGTCATTTGACCCCAAAATTCGGGGTGCGTGTGAAATGCAGGTGACAAGGAGGTTTCATGTCATGAGCGGTTCTCCTCGTGAATTACAGGCACGTGCAGGGACCATGTCCCCTTTCCATATCTTACATAACTTTCTATGGGCTGGACAATGATCAAGGAGAGCAAACATGTGATGCCCATCCTAGCTCTTTCCCTCTCCCCTTCACACCCCCTCTCCAGCCCAATCCCCGCTGCCAGAGTCAAGCTGTGCTTAGATCATGTTATAAGCCACATGGACAGATCATGATCCACCAGCTCCCAGACTCGATGTTCCATCAGAGAGCGGGTTAGTTCTTATGTATTTCTCCTATTATACAGCATACTTGGCATGCCATATCTAGGGCCACCAGTTACATATCTTCCCTCACGCCAATTACGGTAGTACCTAAGCCGCTGGAACAACAGGCCTTGGAGATGCTTTCACTGGACTACAGCCAGTCATGGTGGGTATGTCAAAAGCAACATAACAGGCAAATAAAGAGACGTCCACCCCCAGAGAGACACGAGCCTCCCTGCTCATCACACCCCCAGAGGGGGAGCAGACAAGCCTTGCAGCATGCCCAGATGGCATAGTCAACAAAGCTGGGCTCTGCAGATGGAAGGGGGCTGTCCCCATGGCTTCCTGCTGTAGGAGTGCCACAGGCTTTGCACACTGGTCAGAACCCTGCCCTCCAGGAGCACGAAGCGGTAGAAGCCTCTCTGATCCCAGAGGGGGCTCCCCCTGCTGAATGGCAAATTCTCAGCGTGCTCCCGTGTTAGCAGCAGGAACAGCTCAACGGGGCAAAACAGGGCTAGCCCACGGCGCTAGCTTTCACTGGGCAGGGACCAATACACCCAGCAGGGAAGACGCTTTCCTCCCCAACGGCTCCCTCCGGAACTGCCCAGTGCAACGGGTGAGCAATCCCTCTGCACCGGGGGCAGTCTGGTCAAGATAACAAAGGCACCACTCGTTACCGAGAGGGCTACCCCCAGATCTTACAGGAGAGCGAGTCAAAAAGACGGACTGCCTGGCTTTTTGTCCCATGGCCTTTAGATCGATCATTTAAAACCAAGGCTAAAGGGAGCTACTGAGGAGTTGGCAGCACACACTGCATAGTTACACGTCGAGCTGCCAGGTTACTGAGGAATGATGAAATTTGATTTGCTGCCTTCAGAAATAAAAGAGGGCTACCAACCCCGGGAGCTGCTGTGTTACCTCCTCCTCCACCTCCCATCATGTTACTCCCACCTCCACCCCCACTGTCATTAGAGCAGATCTTTGTTTAGCGGAATCTTCAGGTTGATTTTGGGCTTCAAAAAGAGGAGGGGCTCAAAACCGGTGACTAAAAAGGTTTTGAAGGGGTGGGGTTTTTAAAAAAAAAATAAACGTCCCAGTAAAACCATAGGAATTGCCACACCAGATGAGACCGAGGGTCAATCCAGTGGGCAGTACGCGCTGCTTCGAAAGGAGGCACACAAATGGCTTTAAAGGACAGGTCTGCAGTGAACTGGAGGGAGGGTGGGAAGGAGAAATCTCATTCTAACCCCTGCTAGGTAAGGCTCACAAAACTGAGATTTCTGTTTTGATTTAAACATTCCCCGGCAGCTCAGACATGGGAGAACGAGTACACTACCGGGCGTGTTGTCTCCGTGCTGTGCAAATCAAAAGCCAGCCAGAACGATAAGTGACCGCGGTTAAAGTATTTTCATGTTGAATGACCTAAGGTGTTGCACACCACAGCTCAGGACAGCTGTGCGGGGATTTTCAAGCTGGATTTTTATTTTGACAGCAACTCTTCATGAGGACTGCTGCATTTTGCTCAGATAAATAACCTCCCATACCCATAGCGAACTGGTACCTTATTCCTGGCATCAGTTTTAACTTCCCTTCAGCTGATGCACGTTTTTGCTGTGTGACATTACAGCGAAAGACAGATCGAAGAAGTCCCTTTTCTATCTTGTTCTGGGTGTTTGGGAAGCTGGTTCACAACACCAGTCCTTCAGGACAGCTGGGAAATGGTTAAGCTGCTGATCGGCTGCCAAGGACACAAGTGCTGGGAACACCAGGGTCGGAGTGTGTGACTTTGGCACCAGATCTACGGTCAGTTAGGTCACTTTCCCCACATAAAATCCAAGCAAACTGCACAGCTTGTTCACCCTGCAATGCAAGTCACCGCTCCCAGGGGCGGTTATGATACTCTCCAAGTCCAAGAGGTTAAGGTAGCTGCAGTACCACACTACAATAAAATCAGATACTCTAGCTTTCTCAGGGGAGCCTTCCCACTGCTCTGCTAGAGTCACTGCTGAATGGTCCGAGGAACCTAATGTGCATTGCCAATATCATGCAGGGCAAACCCACCCACAAGAGGCAGTATCCTGAGTTGCTGAGTTTTAGAACTAGGGTCCCCCAGTCACATTCCCAGAAAGCTGTTTCCAACTCAGCCCTTTAGCAGTTTTCAGGGAAAGATCAATTTTATTTTTCAACTCTGTTCAGTTCAGGTTGGTCTCCAACCCAGCCCTTGGGGCAACATCAGGACGGAGCCAGTCTCCTTGGATAACGAGGGGGCTCTCTGGCTGCACACAGCCCCCTAACTCGTCCCCGTTTTAATGGGGATCAGGTAGCTGACAGAACCATGGTGCTCTTGAAAAAACATTCAAGCACAGCAGAGGGTGAACTCCACAACAGCTGCTCCGGCTGCACACGTGTTCACTGCGACACTGGCTCTAGCCTTCCAAATACACATGAAGTTTCTCTAATAGCATTGCTCTTTGGTTCTAACAATTCCAGATTCAGAACAGAATGAGACCTGGCTGCGTCAAAATGGAAGCAGATGCCTAAATTCCAATTCTCCCCAAGTTATGAGTTTATCTTAAAGCACTGGAGAAAGAAGTTTGCCATTGGTACTTCTATGGCCCCCATCACAGCAGTAGCCAACCGTCTCACAATCTCATGCATTTATCCCTTCCTGTGAGGTAGGGCAGTGCTCTTATCCCCCTTGTACAGATGGGAAAATGAGGCACAGAGAGGCTAAGTGACTTGCCCAAGCTCTCACTGGAAGTCTGTGGCAGAGGTGGGAATTGAGTTGGGGTCTCCCAAGTCCCAGGCTAACTACTGAACGTTCTCTTTATACACAGAGAAGCGTGCCCTGGGTTAGGGAAAGCTTCCCACATCCTCCTTTCCCAGCAAGCTCTTGCCTTGACAGACCCGTTAGGCAACTTGGGGCAATTCATTCCCTAGCCCACACGCCCAGCCCAACTAGCACTGTGGAGTACTCTGCCCAGAACTGGATAGCAATGCCACATTTCACACAAGCCACCCAGCCACCACCACCCGCCATGGTCCCAGCATTTGAGTCATCACTCTCTTGGGGTAGAATCAAGCCAGGAGCCAGGGAACGGGATTCGGAGCCCAAGCCATGCAGAGTCCCCAAAGTAATAGTAGGTTTTAGCCTTACCTGTACTATGTCCAGCACCATGCCAGCCGCTACCGTCCCAAACCCGGCCAGCAGGAAAGGGAAGAGGACCTGCAGCCCGATGGAGAAGGAGGTCTCCTTGAGAGGGGAGGCAGGCTCGGGGCCCTGATCCGTACTGGTGTCGTCGCTCTCGTTGCTCTGGCTGCCGTTCTCCAACAGGGCGTCCTCTTCTCGTACCCCTTTGGCGTTGGCCCGGGACTCCAGCACCACCACCTCCACCCCTTCCCCGTCAGGCTCCAAGAACTCCGAGGGCTCCACGAGCTGCTGCCGGTCCGGACTGGCCAGGCAGTCCACGGGCACAGCCACGATTGGCAGCACCACCCCATTGGTCTGGTGAGTCTCCTTCTGTTCCAGCTTGGAGGACATGCTGAAGGGTGAATGTCCCCCCGACCCTCAACCTGGTGGGGCTACAGCAGGCAGCTGTCCCAGAAAAGACCTTCTGCCCGGGGCTTAAGCCAATGCCCCTTCCGGCATCTAGATACCACCTCCTTTGTTCTTGTGCGCCTGCCCTCGACTGCAGAGGCTGATCCCCTAGCAGAGATCCCCATCAAGCACAATCCAGAAACGGGAGACACCAACCACCAAGCCGGCAGAGAAGCAGGAGGAGATTCCAGCTATAACCGCTTGGCTCTGGTTCTCCTGTTCCCAGAAGAAGGAGCCGTAGAAGCACACGCAGTCTCCCGGATTCTCTTCTTTGGTTCTTGACACCTTAGTGCATCTTCTTCCAACACGCAGAGTTCCCCCACCCAGCCCTGGCTCCAGCAGCTGGACTCGTACTCAGTTGCTTTTAAGGGGAAGCGGGGAAAACATAAAACAGAGTCAAAGAGTCTTTCAAACCTGGGTGTTATAAAGCAGGATTTTATAATAAAAAAGTTCAAGGGGAGTGGAATTTGGGTTCTATCCTTTTAAAAGAATAAATAAAGTTCCCCTGATTTCAGCTCCTTGGGTCATTCCAGTTTAATTACTTAGCCAGGCAAGGAACTGGGAGGATCAGAGTTTAAAAATAAAGCACCGCCTGAATGAACTCTCTTCTTCGGAGCTACAGATCTGCTTTCTTCTTCCCAGGGACCTTGCTTTCATGGGGAGACAGTGCAGAGGAGTCTTGGTTGGTGTCTGGCAGCTGACAGCACTGGCCTTTTCATGCCTTGTAGCCTCTTTTCCCTGCTCTCTGCAGAACAGCTGGGTCACCAGCAAGCTCCAACTGCAGCAGTGAGCCTCTGCGTCCTCCTGTGTAAGGGAATCTCTCACCTTACAACACGTGGCAGGGATGACTTAACTAAAGGAACAGGAAGTTCCCAGCTAGGGTTACTTGGTGAGCCTAGCTAGTGCTGGCAGGGATGCTGGCATTGAGAGACTGCCTGGCTCACACCCACGCTCCAGGGACTGCTGCGCTCTTTCACCTTAAAACAGGAGAGAAACAAGGGATACAAATATTTTATCTAACCTTTCCACAGTCAGCACAATGGCGCATTCATTCAGCAACACTTCCCTCCCATGCACTGGCCTTCAATGGCTTTACTATTCTGCTCTCCAGAACTATGCTGCTGAGCTAGTTAACCCTCCCCCACAACTCCTGGCACACACAGCGGTGGGACAGTGTCAAATGGGGGAGGGGGGAAGGGGAGGAGGTACAGATCACATGGCTTATGCGGGGTGACCGGTCTGCCCTGTTCTGTTCCTCCCACCCAGACCATACATCTCCCATCACCTCCTCCCAGCCTGTAAAGTCCTGGTTGGGATGCTCATGCACCAAAGTCACCAGACAGGGTGAACAGATGTGCTCAGTCCAGAGGACAAATACCATTGTTCAGCCATTGAGAGCCACTGTTGCAACACGAGGCAAGCAGATGCACCAGATGTGCCGGACAGCAGAGCGGAACATTTCCCCAGACGACACATAGAGCAGGAGTGGGCAAAATACAGCCCGCAGGCCGGATCCGGCCCATCTAATATTTCTATCCGGCCTCCTCTGCCCCTTCGCGATCTCCGAGTCTGGGCCGCTAGAAGTCCCACAGCGCAGCGGGGTGATCAGGCAGGCTGCATGCCTGCCTGCCGTGGCCCCACATCACTCCAGGAAGCAGCTGGCTGTTGCTGGCATATCTCTGCGCGCCCAGGGGGGAAGGAAGGCAGCTTCGCGCGCTGTCCTGGCCCCCAGCACCGTCTTCACACCAGAAACTAGCCAATGGGAGCTGCGGGAGTGGTGCTTGCGGGTGCGGGCAGCGCATGGAGACCCGCTGCCCCTCTTCCCCCCAAGGGGCGCGCAGAGATGTGCCAGCAGCAGCCGGCCGCAGCTGCTTCCGGGAGCGGCATGGGGCCATGGCACGCAGGCAGCCTGCCTGAGCCCTGCTGCACCGCCAGCCGGGAGCCAGCCAGAGCCTGCACCTCATTCCCCCTCCCGCACCCCAACCCCAGGTCAGAATCCCCTCCTGCACCAAACTCCCACCCAAAGCCCACACCCTCTCCTGTACCCCAACACTCTGCACCAGCCCAGAGCTCCCTCCTGCACCCAAACCCCGCACCCCCTCCATTAATAGAGTAGAAATGTGCGGCCTGTGACGACTCACCAAAATCCGCGGAGTGGCACCCCTGCCAAAATTATTGCCCACCCCTGCCATAGAGGGATACCATGGTTAACAGGCATAGTCCTGAGCAGGTTGGTGTGTGCACACTGCTGCCCTCTGCTGGACAGAATCACAAGTGCTCCATGGACACCATGGGCCTTGGATTGCTAGGGGAGCTGGAAGATCAGCGCTCTCTCCCTGCTACTCTGCAGTACAGTGAAGTAACTTCTGTGTTGTGGTACAAAAACCCCCTAGCGAGTACCGAGTTCTGCTCAGCGCTGGCTGGGGGCTCAAGCACAAAATGAGCACCTGCCCTTCTCCCCAGACACAATCCATTAGTATCATATGTGGAAGGGGGGGCATGTAATAAGCAAAGGCATTTTACCACACTGAACCATCACTATGTTTGTAAGGTGAATCCCAGCTTTGCTGAACGGATCTTGCAACTACAGTGCTATGACAAGCCACTCAGCTTGTAAGACATACCCTGAACACAGGGTACAGTGCCAAATGCAAAGCTAGCTGGACCCCCCCCCCCCCCCCGAGGAAAAACCCCACATGAAGCTACAGAGTTTCAACCTGCTCCCTTGACAAGTCTTCCCAGTTTAGTCTCCCTTGTGCTGCAGGAATCTTTACTGAGGGTGGAGGAAAGCTCATTGTGTTACAGTCTAAAAACCACCCCCAGTAATAGTGTCAATACACTAAGCAACAGACACTGGTGTTTAGATAACCATTACCGGTTAGTGCTTCCTTTTCACCCTTCCTCTGACAGCCTGTGATTCAGGTAACGGATCATTTATCATCATTACTTGCCATGCCAATGCCCACGGGTAGGCCAGCCTGTGATTCAGGAATCTGAGTAATCCAGCCAGCTCCACAAGGCCCCTCCTACCCCCCAGTCCAAACACATGTTTAAGTCACACCTCAAAAGCCTCAACCTCTCCCCACTCACCACCATGGCTGTTTGGATTGACCATGTCTATTACCCCCAACCTCCAATCGAAGAGTGGAACAGGACCCATCTCACTCACACTCTCACACACACACACACACTCTCACACACACACACACACTTCACCTTCCCTGGGTGTCTCATTCTCCATGAATTGATCTCCTGCCTCTCTCTAGGTAATCCCTATAACGCCCCTTCGATAACAACCCCAATGCCATTGGCAAAACCCTCCTGCCCAGAACAAATGCCTTTTGAGTCAAGTACATCTAAGATCCATCCCAGCTATATCCCATTCAGATACAGAATTTTAAAGGGACTTGCCCCCCAAGTCCATCACCCCCACAGCCTCTGCTGGGAAAGGATGCATCCAGTCTGGGATTTAGAGGGAAAGCTGGAGACTGACCAATAAGCCTCCTTCCCTAAGGAAAAACAAATGCATTCCCATCCCACATTCACCTCTCCTAGGCATGCTGTCCTTACCATACATGCCTTGGCAACCCTGCGAAGGAGAACACACCCCAGCACCATCCAGGCAGAGCCCCACCGTGGGGGGTCCTATTATTGGGGCACACCCAGGAGCACCGGAACAATTTGTATAGTGGGGGTGCTGAGAGCCATAGAACCAAATCAAACCCTGTATCTGATGGAAACTACTTCAAGCCAGGGGGTGCTAGCTGCAGCACCCCCAGTTCCAGCACCTATGGGCACACCAGGCGCTAGCAACAGCCTGAGGAGGAGACTGACATACCGCAAGGAGGCTGCATCGAACAGCGGCTCCTTCAGACACCACCACCCCAGAGGCATGAAACTGAACTGCATAAATCCCGGGGAGGATGCAGGTCCCCCCACCCAAATAAGAGTCCCCAGTGCCAGCAGGAATGTGCACAGGGGCAGAGGAGGGGACGGTGATAGGGACGTACCCTGGAACAGGGCCGGGCACCTCCCCCAGCGGGTGACAAGCCCCC